TTTGTAAATTAAAAAATTTAAATTTATGAATTTAAAAACTTGAAAATTTATTATATTTCTAGAGGTGAAGTGGTCGTACCAATTAAATCAAATCGAAGTAACCTAGTCGTACAGTTTACGACCAAGTTGTGTCTACGTTTCAAGTGTCGAGGTTATGTGGTCGTACTGTTTACCTCGGTTTAAATACTGTTGTACGTCGAAATTGACTTCCACTTTACGACCAAGCTTTACGACCAATGAACGTCTACCATTGTGGACGCAACTTTACGTCAAATCAACATCTAAATTACGACTACATTTGTTACATCTGTATTACGACCAAATATTCTAGTCGTAATATTTAAATCCACTTTACGACTAAAAGTGAATTACGACGGGCTAATAACGACTAAATGTGTTTCGTTATTTGGTCGTAAAAGCCTATTTACGACCAGATAGCCTCTAAAACTGTGGTCGTTATGCCTACGTTTTCTTGTAGTGATAGTTACAAATACAATACATGAAAAAATGAAGTAAGCTCATCACGAATTCTCAGCAACAGGACTTCGACAGTTGTGCTACTATGTTCTGCATTCAAGTGAGCAAGCGGATGAGAAGAGTTCGCCATTCTAAGCTGATGGGTTTATGAAGATTACAATGTTTTAGAAGAAGAACGTGATGAACTGTACATAATAGAAATCGTTTATTTATAAGTGTGGATCCAGAAACTTTTACATTAAAGCTAAGCGATTAAAGCAACTAACACGGCCACGTGTCTTCCAGAAGTTGAGTTCAACACTTGTGAAAACTGAACAATGACAAACGGGAAAACCGATAAAGTCATTATTCTCACATCATAAGTGGTCCAAACATCAACATTAACATCATAATCTACAGATACAGAGGCAACAACGATCACAATTATACAAGTTAGAGATAAAATGAAGCATCCAATCCATAAGAGACAAACACTTTCTCCGTACCTTATATGGAAACCTTTAGTGTCTTGCTTATTTACAACAATAGTATAATGAATGTCACACTTGCCAACAATTGTGCGAGTTTCCTAACAAATAATGAGAAATATAAATGTAAAGCCAACGAATAAACCTATTTTCACAAAGATCTAGATTTGTGTAGTTGCTATATCTCCAGAAAATCCAGACATTTAAACAATCACTAACAAACACATAAGATTTAAAATCCATAGAGAAAAAAAGCAAAAATCTCAAATTGTACATAAAAATTATATTGACAAAGGTAAAATATGATTGACTCATTGATTAAACAAAGATAACTTTCAATCTCTCACAGATAAGAGACACAAGTTATACATCAATGTATCATCGTACTCACTTTTCGAGTCGGAGAACTAAACAACGATTCACTTTATCTCAAAGTTCAATAAAAAATCTACATTTTCATTTACCCATAATAAACACAACGTAAGGGTGTTAGTGGTTTTTTTTTTATCTGTTAGTGATTTTTTTTTATGAAGAACAGAGAAAAAGAGAGGAGAGGTTCTGCATGTTAGATTGACAGACAAAAGAAAAATTATCTCCAGAGACGAAAGTAATTAGATGCTTTTTTGACACGTTAGTTTGGTGGGTTTTGTCCAAAAGTTTTATGCAGTTCAGATTCATTGATATTAGGGGTTTTAGTTTTACATATATGACCATAAAGAAAATCCTAAAAGATGCCATTTTTACATATTTCGATTTGAGTTGTAGTCATTAGCCTAAACTGATTTTAAACCCGTAAATAAAAATTCTTTGGGCTGACTTTAATTGGCCTTAAACTTTTAATATCGTTAGCCCATTCGTTGTAATTTATTGTTCTAAAATGAGAAACAACAAAAATCCCTTATATATTAATTGAGGAACATTTGAAAAGATTTAACCTCAATTTTGTATTAATTAAAAGAGGCCCCAATGCATAGGTGTCATTCAATTAGGTAGTCAATTAGATTCAATTGAAAAATACAGTTAAACCTCTATAAATTAATAATGTTGGGACTACACCAAAAGTATAATTTTTTATTAATTTATAGAGATTATTAATTTATCGATATACTAACTGAACCAAAAACTCAATTTGGGACTATAAAATTATATTAATTTATAGAGATTTTTAGTGTATATTAATTTATCGATTATTAATTTATAGAGGTTCTACTGTAAGTAAGTCCACATTGAATTTTTATAGGTTGGTAGATACATTAGTTAGTCAAAATATATGATATAATGATATGATATGCTATTTTCTTTCCATAAATAAAACCTACGGAATTACCATAAATGACTAATATATATATATGACACTTAATGATTGTTCCCTAAGATATAATTACTATTTTATTTTATTTCCATAAATAAAACCTATGGAATTACCATAAATGACTAATATATATATGACACTTAATGATTCTAATAATAAATATTTGATAACAGTTTATATATCCTCTATCATTTTTCTTTAATTTTATATTATTAAAATAAATTAAACAATCAAATTAGCTATAAAATTAAACTTTAGATTTTTTCGTATAGGTTATATTTTGAATTTTAAGAAACGAGAATAAATAACTAAACTATTAAAATTATTATGTTAAAAATTAATGATCAATAGTTTAACATTTTATTATTAAAAGATATACATGATTTTAAAACCATATAAGTAAAAAGTATCATTCAATAATAAAACAAATATATATATACAGATTAAACTATATACCATATAAGATTACATAAATATTTTAATTTCAAAATTTTCAATAAATTTTCAAGAACATTTATAAATTATAAACTTATTAATTTTTTCACATTGAAATTTTTTGTTATCAATGATTTAAATATCTTAGTTCTTTTTTTAATTTTATATTTTTAAAAGATATTAACAATCGATAATATGGTTATTTTGGTATATACCATACAAACCGAATAGATGTGATTTTATAAAAACCATAGGATTTGGATATGGTTTGATTTATAATCGATTAAACTGAAACATGTAAATATGTATATATTTATAACGACGCATAAATATCTATTTGTTATATGAGTTGAACTATAATTATAATTTGTAAATAGCTAACAATTTCTTACAACTAAGACTTCTTATTTTGATCTTTTGCTTTTTTAACAGTAACTAAATTGAAGTAAAAATTATAAATTTGATGAACAACAATTAGATGAAATTCTTTACAACTTTTTTTTATCTTTAAACAAACAGAGTTGTGTTCAATCGAAGACATATTGGTTTGATGAACACTAAATATGGAAGAATATAAAAACTTTTCTTTCATGCTTCTGTTTTGTTTTTTTTTATTTTTATTTTCAAAATTTAGTGTTTTGATATTAATTCTAGATTTGATCATTTTATTAAATGATAGAAGCCTTTTTTTGTTTTTTATTTTTTTATTTAAATATATAAATTTTTTTTTTAA